GTAAAGCCATTATCATGATGGAAAACATTTAACACAATTACACCATGGATAGTAGCATGATCTTTCCTCAGCGAAGCCCCACTGACTTAACTCATGGGACGAGGCACCATTGCTAACAAAGGGGATAGGGCCGGATGAATTTCCTTGTGAATTCCCACATATGCCCTCATGTCAAAAATTAGAGCAGCCCTAGCCCCACCTGCCGCAACATTACACCTTAAATTCTAAAATAGCTATTTTGTAAAGTTATACTTATAAATCTTAGCCTCATCCTTCCCATCCGAAGTCTAAACAGAGCTTGAATAGAATTTATCATTTTAAATTTAAATGAGTTTAATTCATAAATATTTCTTTAAAGAAGCATTATAAAATTATGCCAAGGCAATGAAAGGAAAACCCGGGGGCAGACTATGCCTTATGGGCTTACGCCTAGAATCAATAAATAAAATTATTAAAATACGGTAAAAGATATTCTCCATAAAATTCATCTTATTTGTGAAATGACATTATATCTTGAAGACTTAAAGTAATAAAAAATAAATATACACAATATTGTTCACAAAAAAAAAACTTAAAGCAATATCAGATAAAATAATAAGATGTACTTGTACTTGTCATGCCAAAATAAATAATCACTTTTAGATAACACAAGTGAAAAAAAATCATCATACAAATTAAGTTAAATCGTTTTGCTTGTCTCCTCAACCTCTTCAGTTATCTTTTGTTATTTTAGTCGTTTCAAACGCGGGAGCTATCGTTCTATCCTTAGAACCAAATATGTAGAAAGACGTTTAAATGAAAGAAGAAAAGGATGTTACCCCTAGCAATTGACCCATTCACATTATAAGGTTCATACTAAAATTTCAGTGAAACATCATCAGGTCAAATATCCAAAGCAAAGATCGAAACAAAATAAAAAACTGAAGACAAAAACATCAAGTTCTGCAAAATTTGTATCAATGCCATTGAATAAATAGATTAATCTATTAAACAATAAATATTTACATGGAACCAAGATAATACAATGAAACTACCTTTGCCTAGCTGTTTCAACCTCCCCTGTAGTTGTTTTCAGGATCTCTTTTGTTGGGGCAATGGTCAAAAACTTAGCCAAGCCCACCCACTATCCTCGCCATGGTGCCCTTCCACCTTTTGCAGGCCAAGAGTTTTAAATCTGGAAACCGAAATGATTAACATCCTAAAATTATGTTGTAAATACAGAGTATAGATATATTAAAGAAAAAAGAAGAAAAAAACATTACCTTCATTGAATCTGCTCATCGCTCATATTATCTTCAAAGTTTAACTATCGTCAAGACCAAGCCTGATTTAATCTGTTATTCGGTGAGCACCTGATGCTAATAAGGCTATGAAAAATCTCCACGAAAGATCCGATGGACCTCATCACCTAAAACAGAACCCCCAAAAAGAAAACCCCCATAAATAAATTTGAAAAATAATAATATTAAAAATTACAGAGTATTTCCTTAAGGCGCGTTTGGATGCAAAAATTAACCTGAATGATTCCTATAACACGCCAAGCTTGGTCTTTGAAGACGACAATTTTTTCATCTCCGGGATGGCGAGATCTGAGCTCTTCCCTAACAACTGGAGAACAGGCATTGTGCTCACTGTGCTCACTGGTCAATTGGTCAGCAGAGATTCCATTGTTCGGCCTATTAAGAACTCCGAGAACAGCCCTTTAACTTCTCCTTGACCGGAAATCCTCTTCCTAGTTCCAATGGAAGGAGCGTTGGAGCAGCGACTTTGATAGATCTATTACACCAATCTATGTATTATAGCTGCAATTTCGGTTCCACTGCCCTCTGCTCACAGCCACCAAAATCCACCAGGCATGGTAGAAAACCTAGC